AAGATTTACTGAATCACATCTTGAAACATTCTCCTTCTTTATCGAAAGTAGAGATTCCTTATTGTACATTCACATGCCCCTATGATGAATTAAGAGATCCCAACAACACTTAAGACAAATCTTTTACGGCTTGCCTTTAAGAGCTATCAAAGATCAATAACGCATCACAAGACAACCATGATGCCTCAGGTCTAAGGACTAATTTGCATTATTGCAACTATGAGTTCTCGTTTGACATATAGATAAATACTCCATACGAGAACTACGGTTGATCGCGTTCAGTGTACTCATTCACTAATGAGCACCCACATACTCGTATTAGTGTCAACTACACAAATGGTTTGAGACTAACCATCCTCCCAATTGAGCATACATAATATGTGCTAATCTTGACGGTTTATCAATGTCCATTTGATAACCTATGATTAGGAACATTTTGGGATGCTATAATTAGAGATTAAAGGTCTCCTGAATCTAATCCTCTTTAGATTACTTTATCTCTTATTTAGCATACCCTGGACATTTGTTTCTTTACACGATGTAAAAGATAACAAATTAGTTTGCCCTTTTATATATCATATACGAAATGTATTCTAAGGAGATTACATCAAATGTATTGGCTCTTAGGGCACATTTCTAACATCATCCACTTGGTTTGCAGATGCCCCATACGCAAGCATCCGTAAAGCATCTATAAGTTTTTGCTTTGGAAGAAGACTGAAAACCCCAATAGCATTGTACTTCTGAACAAAGTATGTGTCGTAATTGCAAACATCATGCATGATTTTTTTGAACAAATGGGGTTGCATTCTATTTCTCCTTCGAAAATAAGAAATAAAATACAACGAATTTGGGATAACGTAATCTTCCAAGAGATTCTTACCTCGAGAGTGCCTATATTTGTCCACATTCGAGACACGACCATGGTGGTATTGCCTTGATTGATTGAGCATACCCACCCCTAAAAACAACTTCATCGTCCTCTTCATCCAACTCACGATCTTCTTCAACATGTCTGCACCTGATTTCTTCATCTTCTCGCTCTTGCCTCTCCAACACCCTCCTCAGGTTAGACATTGAGAGTAGAATGCATTTTGTAAAATCTGATAAATGAAAGGATAGAGAGGATATGGTGTGAAAGGTCTGAGTTGAGGGTGTAGTTTTATAGAGAGATTTAGAAGATAGAGATGACACGTGGCGCAATTTTAGAGGGTGAAAATCTTATATGAAATCTGATATTATAATTTTATAATAAATATCGACACATGGCAACCAAAAATCTTATCTGAAATTTGAGATCTAAATGTTATAATAAATATGGACACGTGGCAACCGAAAATCTTATCTGAAAATTTAATTTGAAATTTGAGATGAGAATTTTATAATAAATAGTGACACGTGGCAACCGAAAATCTAATCAAAATTAATCGTTTAAGTATAAAAAATAGAAAATAAATTAAAATGAATAGTAATTGTCATTGCCCTTGCCCATAGGGATGGAAACAAAATATGCAAGGGCTGCCACTATTCACATAAATAGTGACAGCTTTTGCCTTGCCCTTGCCTATAGGGGTGGAAGTGCTCTTAAAAATCATTTTACATAGGGGTAAATTTTCCTTTAAAATTTTGAGAATAAGGTGGGTGAGGAAATAGAATAGAGGATGGAAATAGTATCACTCTTTAGTATATTATCAGCTCACAATAGGAAAAGGTCTTCTTAGATGAAAAGTTTCTCAAAAGCCGAATTCAAAATAATCATCCAATTTTGATCCTTTTGTTGACGGTATTTTTTGTATCATATCAACAAATGCTCATGTTCCCTTGTAGGAAAATCCAATGAACATGCTTACGAATCATATGTTGTTTTGTGGCAGACGATCTCAAATAAGACTTTTAGTAGTTGATTATTTAACTCAATACCAGCTTTCACTCGTCATTACAAGAATATAAGCGGAGCTAGCTAGGTCGTACAAAAAGCCATGTGTCTCTCTTCAGAAGCTCTCTTCTCTTACTTACACCAATACAATATTGGGTTATCTTTATCTTTCCTTTTGGCTCTGGTTGTTTTTTGCGCTAATGCAGCCATAATATTACCCTAAACATTACAAACACTTCATGCAACTCAACTGCAAACGAGATTCTTGCTTTTGCTCAGAAGAATGATTAATACGAATCCACTATCTGTACAATTCTACTTGCAAAATGATAAAGGTATGTTAACCAAAATTAATTATACAACCTTCAACACACACAATCCCAAGAAGTCAGCCATGTGTGTTTCCTAGGTTAGAGACTTCCCTAACAAGCCTTGCCAACACTCCCTCTCATTGACGTATTTGGATCTTTCTCACAACTTTTTGACTGGCACTGTAGGACATCTTCGTTGGAAAAAATTCAATCATCTTAACCTTCGCAACAATAGAGCTTCCAATTCCACCACCTTCCACATATTTCTTTTCCATATCAAACAATCAATTCACTGGAGAGATGCCTCCAGCCATTTGCAGCTTGAGTATCCTTCAAATCCTTGATTTGTCCAATAATAATTTGAGTGGTAAAATTCATTAATGCATAGGGAACTTCAGTCATAGCCTCTCCGTTTTGGATCTACGGAAGAATAAATTTCATGGTGTGATAAGACATTTTCTATGGGAAATGTTTGAGAAATCTTGATCTTAATGGAAATCATTTGGAAGGGCCGTTACCGTCATCTTTGCTTACATGTAGAGAGTTGAAAGTTCTAGACCTTGGAAACAACAAAATTCATGACACATTCCCAAATTGGCTGGAATTTCTTTCAAAGTTGCAAGTTCTTATCTTGAAGACCAACCAATTCCACGGTGAAATAGGCAATCCAAAAACTAAGCTTCCATTCCAAAAATTGCAAATCATGAACCTCTCCCACAATCAGTTTAGTGGCCCTTTGCCAACCAAATATTTTAAACATTTGAAGGCCATGATAAAATTATAAGAATAGAAATTGAAATATATGGGAGACTACTATTATCAGGACACTGTAGTAGTGGCAATTAAAGGCTTCGAAATTGAAATGCTGAAGATCCAGACTTTCTTCACAACTATTGATTTCTCAAACAACACTTTCAGAGGAGAGATTCCAAACGTAATCGGTAGGCTTAAGTCATTGAAGGGGCTTAACTTTTCTCATAATGAGCTTACAGGTACAATTCCACCCTCGTTTGGTGATTTGAGCAATCTTGAATGGTTAGATCTTTCTTCAAATGGGCTTGTTGGTGATATTCTAGCGTTATTGGTAAATTTGACATCACTTGAAAAGTTCAACGTTTTAGAAAACCAACTTGTCGGACCCACACCTTATGGCAAGCAATTTGAAAATGATTTGTATAGTGGAAATGTCGAATTGTGTGGATTTCCATTTGCAAAAACATGTAGTCCATTTCAATCAATGCCATCATCATTACAACAAGAAGATGATTTGGAGCATGGGAGTGTATTTGATTGGAAGATAGTGTTGATGGGGTATGCATCTGGGGTGGTAATTGGAATCTCAGTGGGATATCTTGTACTTTCTAATGAAACACCAGATTGGCTTGTGAAAGTGGTTGGAAGAAAGCGATGGCGTAAAATCACACAACGGCGTGTTTGAAGAAACCATTCCAAAAGTATGTATTTTCATATTGTATAATGTTGAAGCGCCAATAATATTCATGAATTCCAAAAGGGGATCCTCTTTAGTTTTGTCAAAGTGGAGTAATTTCTCGTGCATCTTGTAATTTGTTAAGCACAACACTGACAAATCAATTCAATCATTACACGCAATTTGCCTATGTTATATACTCCTGTAAATCGTCTCATTACAAAAAACAAAAGGGCTTATCCAATATAGAACCCTACATTTTCTATTTCCTTCAATCATTACACGCAATTTGCCTATGTTATATACTCCTGTAAATCGTCTCATTACAAAAAACAAAAGGGCTTATCCAATATAGAACCCTACATTTTCTATTTCCTTCAATCATTACACGCAATTTGCCTATGTTATATACTCCTGTAAATCGTCTCATTACAAAAAACAAAAGGGCTTATCCAATATAGAACCCTACATTTTCTATTTCCTAAACATATACCCATCACTCTATAAATCTATGTGTAAAACCCAATTTCGAATTTAAATGACTAGTAAGATATAAGAGGTCGTAGTATTCCTACGTTTTTACATCGTTGCCACCAAACTTCATATTTTATTTATAATTTATGTCAAGCATTTTATTAACTGTCATAATTGTAAATAACACTCCCTATTGATATGCTTTTGGTTGTCATTCCCTCTCACATACCGCCCCCTAAAATTGCAAACCAAAAAAAATATCTGTAAATTACATATCCAATAATGTACCTATGAAAAATATAAATATAAATATATTATTTAAATAAAATATAGGTATATTATTTACCAAAAAAATTTATAAAAAAAACTAAGTCATTTACTTTGTAATTGAAATTTCCATACATTTTTCATAAATTAAAAATAGGTACACAATAATTTATAGAAAATATAGGTACATTATTTACCCATAGGTAAATTATTTTACAATATACCTATAAATGTGTATAGGTACCATTATTTGGAGAGGAAAAATAAGTTCATTTAAAAAAATATGTACATTGTATTACTAGGTGCATTATTTGGAGAGAGAAAATAGGTTCATTTAAAAAAATTATTTTTCATAAAACAAATATTAGGTACTTTATTCAGAGAAAAAAGGGTACATTATTTTGAGAAAAAAAAATAGATTATTATAAATAAACCCAATCCTAGACATGTATTTATAAAAAAACCCACATAAATCAAATAATGGATCCTATTTTTATGGAACACAACTACCAATTATCTTTTTTAATTCTAAAATAAATTTTAAAATTTTTTAAAAAAGCCTCTTGCATGTGCGAAAGCACGTGCAGAGAGGCTAGTATCTATATATATAAAGCAAAAGGCAGAGAATGGTGAAACATTCAAAATACCAGAAAATGCCCTTGGTTAATGCAAACATTAAGAATTGAAATTATTAATTAAATGAGGATAACATGGTAAATTCACATTTTTTCGTGTTAAAAAAATTTAAAATTAAAAGAAAAATCAGATAATAGATCCTCTTTGTCTACCCATTATCTTTTTTAATTTTAAAATAAATTTTAATTTTTTTAAAAAAAAAAACCCTCTTGCAGTAGCGGAAGCGCGTGTAGAGAGGCTAGTAATTCATAAAAGGAAAACAACAACAAAAAATTATTAAATAAACCAAAACATTTTTTTTTTTGGGTCATAAAACAAACAAAAACGTTACTAATACTTTAATGTTGAATTTAATATTTAATTTCAAATAAGTTTCTAAATTAATTCCTACATCCATTACAACCATTTGAAGATCTTTCCAAATTCAACGTGTGCCATTAGTTACACCCCACATAACACGTTAAATTGTAAATAGGGGTAGTTTTGGAATCCAAAAAATAGAATAAATCAGATTTTAAACTAGATTAGGTAACTTGCTTACTTGGATCATAGTTATCGGGTTTTATTTGAAAAAAATTGGGTATTTTAAATAGAAAATTAAAGGAAAGGGTTGTAGGTGATTACAAATGAATTTTATGGGTCTAAGCTCAATTTAACAAAAATGAAATACAAGGAAATGAAATTTATTTATTTATTAACTCACTAAATAACATATGCATAAAATTACTGGTATATATAATAAGGGAGTCAATTAATGATTTATTTTAGTGTATAATATGGTATTGTTGATTATGCATATTAGATAGCTTAGAAAAGATGTGAGGTATAGGGCTTGTTTTGACCACAGAATACGTCAAATATCCTGGATGTGGTATGCTTCAGATCCTTTGCTTTATGTGAAGTTATTTTTCAAGGGGCTGAAAAACTCTGTTTTCTTATTATAATTTTAAAAAAAAATTTCTGCTTAGATCGAAAAACTCTGTTTTTTGTTGACATTCTTCGTAAATTTTTATAGCAGGTGGATTTCTCCCTTGGAAATCCGGCTAAGATACTGTTTTTGTTCCTAGCCTTAATACATTTTTCATACGGTTCAATTGGGCACGTTTTATTCAATTTTATGCTTCAACAACACCATCTGGTTCTTCAATTGGAGAGGCCAAGAGAAATGGAACATTAACAATGGGATTTTTGCAGCACAGGAAGAGGAATTCTGTATGCACTCAAGCTGGTCTTTGGACATCCATTGAATTTTTATTTTATTTTATAAGAAAATAACAATTATATACTCATCTGTAAAATTACAACACTAGACTCAATGACTTCTATAAAAAAAATTAGGCTTTTTATCACAAATGGTCCTTGACGTTTACGAAATTATCACGAATGGTCCTTGAGGTTTTTTTGTGACACTAATAGTCCTTAACGTTTGGACTTTTTATTACAAATGGTCATTGCCGTCAAAAATTCTGTTATGTGTATGATGTGGAAGATAAGTGGAGCCCACATGTACAATCACATCGTGACATGTGGATTAAATAAATAAATAAATATTTTTTTATTATGAAAATCCATTAAAAAAAACCATTTAGAGAGTAGAGAGAGAGAGAGAGAGAGGCTAAATGAGTTTTTAATGGATTTTCATAAAAAAATATATTATTTATTTATTTATTTAATCCACATGTCACGATGTGATTGTACATGTGGGCTCCACTTATCTTCCACATCATACACTTAACAGAATTTTTGACAGCAAGGACCATTTGTGATAAAAAGTTCAAACGTTAAGGATTATTAGTGTCACAAAAAAACCTCAAGGACCATTCGTGATAATTTCATAAACGTCAAGGACCATTTGTGATAAAAAGCCAAAAAATTAAAAGTAAATATGTTGAATACCCAAAAATGTACAACCACCAACTAACTCTCATTTCACCTCTTTGTCTAACTCTCTAATCCTTTGGCATGTTTGGTAAGTTAGACTGGACTGGATTGGATTAATTTTTTTATATTACACTGGACTGGTTGGGATTTGACTGAATTTTAAACAGTTATTTGGTGCAGTACAACACCAAAGTTGAGATTAGTTTTTTTTTTTTGGTCAAGGTAATTCATTCCATAAAAATGAAAGGGATTAGTTTAGACTACCATTTTTCCATTTTTATTTTTATTTTCATTTTTATATTCTAATTCCCAAATTGACTACAACAAAATTGATTTTCAATCCCAAAAAAAACAAAACGATTTTCAAACTTCCAATAAGTCGTCTTTAGACTTCTTCTATGCTACCTCCATTCATATCTAAAAGAAGAAGAAAAGTATAGCCACAAAAATTGCAAAATAAAAAATATATATAAATAAAGAGGAAGAAGTTTTGAGGTCAAGATATTACATTTTTTTAATGAAAAAACTGAAGCTTCTCAGATCTGCATCACGGCTTCAAACATCACAACAAGAAGAGAAGAGAAGAGAAGAGGGGAAGAGAGAGAGGAGAACAGAGAAGAGAGAGAAGACGAGAGAACGTTGAGGAGGCGTGCTCTCTATTGATGGTCACTTCTAACGATGGGTTACGAAGGCCCTGTTTTTATGGACTAATATACAAGGTCCATATCCAGTCCCAAACAATAGACTGGACCCATGTCCATTTTAATTGAATTTATTCAATCCAGTCCAGCCCACCAAATAGAACCAACTTACCATTTTCTCTAACTCCATGCTCTCCAACTAACTTATATCTACCTAGATTGTGTTGAAAGAGTATAATGGAGTAGCAAATTATCATCTAAAATAATTCTTATGAGAGTAATACCTCCTACGTTTTTGTACATTTTTAGTTCCATTTCTTTACTTTGAAAAATTTATGGTTTCACGGCACATGCAATGAGTTAGAACCACGCCCTCAAAATCTTGCGGTCACCTGAGACCGTACATCATGGACTTGTGCGATCATTGACAATTACACAAACTTCAGGTGTCTTTCCGAAATTTATAAACTTTTGGATGTCAAAGAATGTTGAAGCGCTATAATATAGGCGTCTAGAAACATGTATTTAGTGGGTGATCACTCGAGCAACCGATGCTGCTCTGGAGTTTCAGCGGATCAATGATCGCCATATTCAGTCTCATCAGACCAGAAACATTGGTGCCGAATTCTGGGTGACACCAAAAGAGAATTTTGTCAAAGTTAATTTTGATGGGGCTTGGTCGGCCAGTGACATTACTGCTGGCATTGGCACTGTGATCCGTGACCAGTTCGGATCTTTCTGTGCAGGGTCGGCAGCTCCTATTCTTTGTCAGTCAGCTCTTGCAGCTGAGGCTGAGGCGGCTATTAGTGGCTTACACTTGGCTGCTATAAATGGTAACAAGAAGGTGATCATGGAGTCCGATTCTAAAGTCCTCATTGATGGGATCAAAGGAGGTATGAGAAATTGTGCATGGGGTATATTCCCTCTCATTCTTCACACACTTCTAGACGGAGCTTTTGAAATGGCAATCAACAGTAATATATTGACAAGAAAGTTTCACCTAAACACTGTTTCATTGACATTGAGCCCAATTGACTTTCCTTTTGGTTATTGCCTTGTGTGAAATAATCCTAATCAATGTTCCAAATTGATGTCTTTCGTCAACTTCCTTTATATAATGTGGGTGCTAAAAGTCGCCAACATGATTAGAGCTTTTGTCCTTTGGAGATGTAGTGCACTGACTTTGAAGAGCTCCTCCCAAAAGCTCAAGCCATTAATAATTCAAATATTCTATCAATCTGTGAAGACGTCGCAGAAAGGTTTGATTTCTTGCTGAACATTCTATTTTACGTCCCTTCATGCGCCAAGAATGTTGTTATTTTTTTTAACTTTCCTTTTGGCAGCATAGCTACAAGAATATTTGATTAAGCAGAGTCCATTTGCAGTCATCAGCGCAGGAATTACTGATTTGACTTTCGGATTAAACAAACAAGTAGTTGATGACGGCACCTGCCCTTAAGTCCACATTATTAATTCATGCTTAAACCAAAGGCTTTAATTAATATCATATCATGATAGTGATTTTATGAGTGTATGTACTCGGTGCTAGAGAAGTTTATCCTTAGATGCACTATCAAAGAGCACTCCATACCTCGAGGGTTAGTCCCCGCAATCGCGCGGGGGATACCTTGGTTTTCACCAAAAAAAGAGCACTCCATCTCAATCAATTTTTTTTTTCCTCAGATGAATAGGTCAAAGGTTTATTATATATTGGGAATTAATGCTCTAAAATTGCACCATGGCGAATTGGTGTTCTAAAATAGAACATAAGGCCACTTGAAATGTTTTTTTTCACTGGATTTTACATGAAAATTCAATTTGGTCACTGAGTAAAAAATTTAGCCAAATTGGTCATCATATTTTTCAAAGTTCACAATTTATAGACATTTTGTTATCTTCAATTAAGTGCTGTTTTTATTTTATTTTTATTTTTTTTAGGAAGCACCTGCAGTTTTTCTTCCTCTAACGGTGCGTTTGGATGAGGGAAATAAACTTGGGATTTTGACAAAAGTCAGAATTTCTAAATTGACATGAACCAATTCATTTTTTTTTTCCTCAGATGAATAGGTCAAAGGTTTATTATATATTGGGAATTAATGCTCTAAAATTGCACCAGGGAGAATTGGTGTTCTAAAATAGAACATAAGGCCACTTGAAATGTTTTTTTGTCACTGGATTTTACATGAAAATTCAATTTGGTCACTGAGTAAAAAATTTAGCCAAATTGGTCATCATATTTTCCAAAGTTCACAATTTATAGACATTTTGTTATCTTCAATTAAGTGCTGTTTTTATTTATTTTAGGAAGCACCTGCAGTTTTCTTCCTCTAAGGGTTTAACACATTGGGGGAAATTTTGAAAGAAGATAACAAAATGTCTATAAATTGTAAACTTTAGGAAACATGGTGACTAATTTGGCTAAAAAAAATTCTCAATGACCAAATTGGATTTTCTTGAAAAACCCAATGACCAAAAAGGTATTTAACTCGTGCAATTTTAGAGCATTTTCATGTATGTGAATAAAATTTGAAACATTTTCTACTTGGTAGCTTCTTCTCAGCCGAAATCCAAGAAATTGTTGCAATCCCATGTGCAGTTTTCACATTATTAAAGAGATAAACATATAGTTGTAACTTATATTGTATACAACCGGATGAAGGATGAAGACGAGAAAAATTCGTGTCATACAAAATAGTAATAATGAAGAAAACACATTCCAGTTATATTGCAATAGCATGATGTTCTGCCAACGTGATATACATTTGCAGTTTGAACGCTGTGAAAACATGTAGTCCTCAATCGAAACCGCAAAGAGATAAAACAAATATGAAAATAGAACGCAGCATTCAAGCCACTTTCCCCAATCAGATGGTCCCGATCCCGAAAGGGCCCTTGCTTTCCTTCCCAAGGAGTTCTGCACGTACGTACGGTCATTGTCATCAACGCAAGAGGTAGACAAATCCTTATCTTGACTTAATCTTATCAATACCGTAATTATGTCAATCCTGCCAATTGCATGGTCCTCAAAGGCAGGCATCACTTTACCTATTTTGTTTTTGCATGGAATCTTAAACGAACCGCCTTTGCCGTACAAAGTTAATTAATCAGTTGGTTAGCATATTCGTTCTTGAGACTATTAAATAAAATGGTTCAGCGGATAGCACTTCCATCACCATCAAATTAGTTTTGAGTTTGAACAAAATATGAAGAAAATTTAATGTATGTTTGATTAAACCGAAAAACACATTATTGTACACAATCGATGATTACAAACACATCGGTACATATCATAATGAGCGAACGACTTTATTGGCTCGTGTGATAAATGAATGTAATCAAGATAAGCATTTGTATAATAAACATAACCTATTAATTATAGCAAGTGTTTTAGATTGCAAAAGTATATATTAGGAAAGATATATGATACACAAGACAATTATTAAGAAGCGCTCCCGTCTGTTCTGTCTATCTATTCCTTCCTTTGCTGGCCTTGATCAACGTGATTACACCACACATTTATTTGGGTTTGACTTGTCAAAAACGTGGACAAAAGAAACGGTTTTGCTTGGACATATATGTGCAATTAGTCAAACATGATACATAAAACAAAATTTGGATAACCCAATTCCATTTTGTATAGCAAAGTTAACTCCCAATCATGGCTTCATTAGTGGCTTTAACTCTATGCGATTTCAATTTTGAAAATTTGAATCATTTTTAGTGAAGGAGATAGTTTTTATTGAGGAAAGTTAGCAATCAAGTTCTAGAAGACAAAGACTGTTAAGAAAAATAGACGCAGTGGTTACGATATGGGTTGGTTGCAATGCCCTCACAAGTGGCGGTTGCATAATTTTTACCTCAAATTTCATCTTACAATTAGGACTTGATTGCAAACTAAACTAATTACATGACTAAAATTGACAAAATCGAAATAACGATGGCCAAATTGAAAAATAAGTCGATATACAAAGACCAATATGCAATTCAGCTTTAATTTGTGTACAGGTTTAGTTTCAATTAAATGATATTGTGTTTATTCCAACCTGCGATCATCGACTCACTTATCCTAACTTTACTCTCACGCCACACGAAAGAAAAATTAGTCCACCCCAATATGAATACCTCGTTCCGCCAACCATTGTATATATGCACTTCAAAATAAGAATCTCAAGCCCAACAAAAAAAAGACTTGAATAAATAAATAAATCGCATACTCCTCCCTTCACGTGTGGGAGGTGTAAAAGCAGCTTATTTGAGAGTGGAAAAGTAACAATTTCCCAGCAAAATGTTACCTCGAAAGAATCTTGCAGACATCATTCTTGTACGTTCCAAGTCAAACGAACATCATTGCTCCCTTGGCCTTTTGGTCTTTAGTTGTGACCAAAACATAAGACTAATTGAGGTACATAATTCCATGGAAAAGGATAACCATCTGGGACTCCAAATTTCAGCATTTTCCAAGACATTAGTGTTTGAATAATTTGCTTAGATGGTCTCTCACGTCACAGGTCAACCACGACCACAAGTAGGTCGTATAATTAATACAAGAGGATGATCAACAAGAAGAAGAAGAAATAGGGTATGGAATACTCCTAATATTAAATTAATCTTTTGGGCGGTAATGCAGTATTGTCAGTGGCAGCAGTGTAATTTATGGAAAGATTGAGGTTTTGAATTAAGCAGCATTGCCGTACCTGTAAGAGTGAGATATTTTTTAGGTAGGAGACAATGTTGTAAAACCAACAAACTTTGGATCTTCATATCATATGAACTCAGAAGAAGCAAAGGAGAAGACGAAAGCTGAAGGCTGCAATAATCATATACCATTCATATGTCAAAAACCCAACTGGGTTTTCACCAAATTCCTTGTGAGTCTTATTTTATTTTCAATCTTTTTGTGTTCTTCAAGTTGGATTTTTTACTATAATGTTTGCTGCACTTGCATATGTTTCTTCAGATTTTGTATGGAATGAATGCATTTTGTGGATAACTTGGTGGTAAATTTTGTAGCTTTGAATTAGTTATTTAAAGCATGGATTTTTGTTCTGGGGTAGTAATTTATGGGTTTTTAAAAGGTGGTTTGTGGCTTGGCGTTTGAGTTGTGAATTCTTCTTATCTGTTTGTTCGAATGAAGATATAGTGACAGGTGATAGCTTCAGAATTCCAAGCGAAAGCTTTGTTGTATATTTTAAAGTTTCTCTGTTTCCTAAATCTTGAATGCTCAGGTTAAAATCCAAGGTCTAGATTATTTGTTCAAAATAGAAAACGAATTTCAACTCAGAGGGGATAAGTACCCTCACAATTCAGAGAAGAAAGTCATAAAGAGCTGGAATCATCAAAAGGCTCTCTCTCTCTCTCTCTCCTTATCTGGATATAAACTGAGAAAACTGTACAGTTCATTCCTAGATATCTATAAGATTCTCCTCCTTTTCCACTTTACTTGTTTGAAAAGGGTGAATATTTGTGTTATGAAAGCAGTTCTATATTTAATGTTAAAACCGCATCGCAGATAGAAATTATGTTTACAAAAATTAGGTAGAAAGTGCATGCTATTATCTCACATGGGTTTTGCTTCAATATTTTTCACTACGAGTGTTAAAATATTCTTTTCTTTTTCCATCTTAATAACACTAGTTGTCTTGTTACCTTTCTCTGCAGAACATATACTCTCTTTAATACACCCCCAAATCCAAGCACAGTTTTCTTTGAATTCTCTGAGATGATTATGATGCATCTGCATGATTTGAAGTAGCCAAGGTTTGCTCTGTATGACAACAGAGTTTTCAGTTAAATTTGAGAAATTGTGTGCCGTAACAATTTATTAGTATAAACGTTGGTTGCAATCAGTCAAACGAATTGGCTGAAAATGCAGGAATCACAGAAACATATAATCCCAAATGTTTCTCACGGATGTGGAGAACAGCCTGTGGAAGAACCAGAGTCCTACTCTTGGCCTCCTATCTACAGTGTTGACCACCAAGCATCCTCTGATGAGGTTATACAACGAACACAGCTTTCAGTTCAAAACTTGGCACCGTACTGCACCCATGAATCTTCGTCAGGAACCAGTACTTACCACCCTGTTCACAGTTCTCCATCTAGTATAGGTTTCTCAGCAAATGGAAGTCCAACATCACATCCAGATTTGCAGAACTACCAGTCTTGTGGCTCTCCTGTCAACCAGTCTTGCTTATCAAATGATACAGATGACCTGGGGCACAAAATGAGGGAACTGGAAAGTGTTTTGCTGGGAAATGATTTAGATGCCTTTGATATGTATGCCATCACAGATGAGCTTGGGCCTAACCAGCTTTCTTCAGAAGCAGAGAACTGGGAACAAATGATGGAGATGATCTCCAGAGGTGACTTGAAAGAGGTCCTTTTCGCTTGTGCGAAGGCAGTGGCAAATAGTGATAAGTCAACAACTGAATGGTTGATGTTAAACTTACGTAAGATGGTGTCAGTTTCAGGTGAGCCAATCCAACGATTAGGAGCTTACATTCTGGAAGGTCTTGTTGCAAGGTTGGCTTCTTCAGGAAGTTCTATCTGTGCAGCCCTAAGATGCAAAGAGCCTGCCAGTGCGGAACTCCTCTCATACATGCACATGCTTTATGAAATCTGCCCATACTTCAAGTTTGGGTATATGTCAGCCAATGGAGCGATTGCAGAAGCTATGAAGGATGAAAGTAGAGTTCATATAATTGATTTTCAGGTAGCTCAAGGCAGCCAGTGGATTACTTTAATCCAGGCTTTAGCTACTCGGCCTGGAGGACCCCCACAGATTAGGATCACGGGCATTGATGATTCCACATCAGCTTATGCACGGGGAGGGGGACTTGGTCTTGTGGGACAGAGGTTGTCAAGGCTTGCAGAGTCATGTAAGGTACCCTTTGAGTTCCATGCTGCTGGAATTTCTGCTTCTGAGGTTCAGCTTGAGGACATTGAGGTTCGACCAGGAGAGGCAATTGCAGTGAATTTTGCCTTCATGCTGCACCACATGCCAGATGAGAGTGTGAGTTGTCAAAATCATAGGGACCGGCTGTTGAGGCTGGTTAAGAGCTTGTCTCCCAAGGTGGTGACTCTTGTTGAGCAAGAATCGAACACCAATACAGCCCCTTTCCTTCCCCGTTTTGCTGAAACATTGAGCTATTTCAGGGCTGTCTTTGATTCAATTGATGTGGCTCTGCCAAGGGAGCATAAGGAGCGGATCAATATTGAGCAGCATTGTCTGGCACGAGAAATTGTTAACATTATAGCTTGTGAAGGGATGGAAAGGGTAGAACGTTACGAGCTTCTCAGTAAGTGGAAGTCGAGATTTATTATGGCTGGCTTTTCACCTTATCCGCTTAGCTCCTTAGTAAACGGCACTATCAAGACTCTACTGCAGAGTTATTCTGAAAAGTATACGCTTGAAGAGAGAGATGGAGCTTTATATCTTGGTTGGATGAATCAAGTACTGGTTGCCTCTTGCGCATGGAGGTAAAAACACACATGACTATATGCGTATCATGGTCCTTTGGAACCCCGAGATAGAACTCTTCCTAAATTAGCTTTACAATGTTGTAAGATTATGCTTCCTCAGTAATAAACTTTTCACTAAACATCTTTAGACCTCCAATCTTAAAATCCCCCATAAAACTATATTTTTTTTAAATTTTTTTTATGCAAGTCTAATACAAATCTGGTAAGCTAAACTTGATATACTGTTTTGTGCTACGTAATGCCTACTGATGAAAACAAGAGCTGTGCTTACAAGTAACATATCAGGTGAAAACTATGACAAAACGGGGAAGCACAGCACAGGGTTCGTCACTACCAAATATTCTGAGGTACAATCCAGGTTTTGGTTTCCAGTTGAATCTGACTCTTCAGTTTCCCTGTCTGTCATATTAACCATGCGCCCCGCAATTGCCCTGCAAACTATTACAGCCCTTTTTATCTTGTTCCTCCTCGTAATGGTAATGGTGCTTTCACCGAATTCCTTGCTATTTGTACTAAATTGAATCTCTTTCTTCAGTCTATATTCTGTATCAAAGTTTGATTGAATTATCCTGCAAACTTGACAAGTCTGACCCTTACAAAGCTCAGAGATTCGCTTCGATTCTCCATTGCAACATACGAGCCACTTCCATGGAGTTCCTCACCCGCACGACGCTTTTGATCCTATTTTATTGTTTTGAAGGATTCTTAACTGCTCCTTGGACAATCATCTCAAGGATGTTCCTTGACAGGTTTCCAATGTCCAGATCTGATTAAAGACAACAAGAAATTGTACCTTAGACTAATTCCAAGCATTTGCAAATACATAGTCGTAGGTGTATAGCTATCTAATCTAGATAGTACTTCAGTCATATGTAGCTGAAGGCCTCCAAATACTTCAGCATGTCCATAACTTGAAAGATTTCAAAAATTTAACCTTCTGAAGTGCATGCAGAAGTTGACTAGTGTTCAAAACTAAATTCAAAAGCTCTAGAAATTTGAATATGGTACCGAAATACATACATATAAATCAAAATGAGAGCAAAACATTTATTTACCATATAGCTGTAATGTGTAGCTTCTCTGGTATTCCGGTTCCAGAGTCGGAATCTCTCTGCCATGAACAAGTAGTGCAGGAGGTTTACTATCAAATTTTGCCTTTCCTAAAGTTGTGTTGCTTCTTTTGTTACATCTTTCAGCTGGCTGGCCAATCTGCCACCTTGTTTCCAGTACACTTCGCATTCTCCTTCAACGATACCCACATTGCATGCATTATTTCTGTGTGACTGAGCGAGAGCGTGTTGCACTATTTTATCCTTCCCCAGTTGCAGATTTTTTTAGTTTGAATACGAACAAAATAACCCATCAGTATACCTTGTACCATCCTGTCATTGTTAGTCACATTTATAATTTATACACATACTGAGAACTGTGGACCTGAATCAATTTTGAGAAAAAAAAAAAAAAAAAAAAAAAAAAAAAAAAAAAAAAAAAAAAAAAAAAAAAATTAAAAAAAAAAAAAAAAAAAAAAAAAAAAAAAAAAAAAACTTAAACCAAAAAAAAAAAAAAAAAAAAAAAAAAAAAAAAAAAAAAAAAAAACAAGCCCTTTTTTTTATACAAGCGATAACGGGTGAGGGGAAAAATTGAAGCTAAAACCTTGCTTGCAAAGATAAATACTCTTAACTACTTGAACTATAAGCCGCTTGTAGAAAAGCCTATGTTGTTCTACTTAATATAAAATTAAATATAATAATGAGTGCTGATTTTCCCATTTCTCTTTTGTCCACTTACACACCGTATTTTCTTAAATTCTTAAAATACTTTATTTTCCCAAAGCAGGATCTTGGAATCCAAACAGCATTGTGTCTTGTTTTGCTTTAAAATTAACTTGCACTAATGAAATATAGCAGTGGAGTTTTAGGCCACAAACGTGGCCGCATGCTGCTACTTTGTCCATTGTCCACTAAACAAAAGACAAATGTGTGAATTAAGGAATGTTGTATCTTACATGAAAGACCAAATCTGGATGCTGCCGGCCAGTGCTTTAAAGGAGCCAAAAACTCGGTTGCCCAACGTCCCTTTTTTCACTACAAAGCCAAAAAATAATTCAATTGTCAAGAGCCATCTCCTGGTTTCTTGTGCAACGATTTTTCAGCTAGTTTTGGTATATTCTTACTTTTTTGCTCTGTTTGTATTTCGTTATTCTTTTGTATGTATGTTGGGTCCATATAATTGACCTAAACGGACATTTTGATTGTTTCTATGCAGCCTGCATGTTGCTTCACATGAAAAACCTATTTCTGTGTGGTAGTTAGATTACCAAGTTGCTTCACAAGCTCCAAAACAAGCAGCTGCAACTTGCAAGTTGCTTCACAGCCCCTATCCTTCCCCGGTTCACTCAGACACTGAGCTGCAAATTTTTTATTTTATTTTTAATTATGGTTGGTTTTTCACCTTATTCACAGTGAAAAAGGGCCTTAACTTGCAGATCAGTGGACTCATGTTCGAATCTTCATGACACCTTGAGAAAACCCCCCTCCCCTTTATAGTTTAGACTATCACTTGTATTTTATATAAAATTAAAAAAATTAAAAAAAAATAAAAAAACATGAACATTTGTGTCTTTTGGTCTTGTATATGGAACCTTGAGGTGGAACCTCTTCCCGAAGTGGTCTTCTGCTCTCATTTGCATTCTTGTTTTTTCTTTTTCTTTTTCTTGGTTGGATAAGATATCTTTTGTAGGGTGATAGTTTTACTATGTTAGAAGATTATGCTTCATCAATAATACGTGGACCTTTTCCATATACATCTTTAGACCTTCAATATCAAAATCCCTCATAAAACTAATTAAAAATCTTGATGGAAGTTCAATACAAATCTGGTAAGCTAAACTTGATAAACTTTTCTGTGCTACATAATGCCTACTGATGGAAATAAGAGCTGTGCTTCCAACTTACAAGCAAATACATATCAGGTGAAAACTATGACAAAACAGGGAAGTACAGCAGAGGGATTCCTCACTATCAAATATTCTGAAGTGGAAAGCAGCTTTTGGCTTCCAATTGAATCAGACTCTTCATATTCCTTGTCTGTCATATTAACCATGCTCCCTGCAATTGTCCTGCAAACTATTACAGCCCTTTTTATCTTGTTCCTCCTTGTGATGGTAATGCTATTTTCACCGAATTTTTCGCTACTTGTACTCAGTTGAATCTCATTGCTCAGGCTATATTCTGTGTAAAAGTTTGATTGAATTATCCTGCAAACTTGACAATTTGGAGCCTTACAAAGCTCAGAGACTCGCTTCAACTCGCCACTGCAGCAGGCTACCGTTGTGCCATAGAACCTCAACAGCTCGTTTCCATCTACTGTGCTTCTTGGATGCCTCATATATCTCTCTTTGGCCATCTTCTTTACCATCTCTCTGTACTTCTCAAACCTTTCAAGCGTTTCTATGGAGTTATGCACCCTCAGGACCCTTTTAATCCTGTTTGATGGCTCTGATGGATTTACCGATGCTCTTCGGACAATCATCTCAATGACGTTCCTTGATGGGTCTCCAATGTCTAGCTCTGATTAAAGAATTAAGACAAGAAGGACATGTACCTTTAGCAACAGTAATTCCAAGCATTGGAAGATAGTCCTAGGTTTATAGTATCTATATAGGATTTCATTCCATCTACATGAATAATTCCAGAATAATAAAGCAAACACTGTAAAATATGATAATGGTGTTTGCTTTGCTTGTCATATATTTTTAGTCGTTACCTAACACGTTAAGCTTATGGGGTCTAGCGGTTGTCTAACAAGTGGAGCTTAAAATGGAGATGAAAAGCTACTTGATTACGTGTTGTACCTTGCTTAACGAGGTTTCATGTCAATTATAAACAACATCTGTCTCCATCTAAAACCTCACTCTATGGACTCTTGCATGGCTGCTGCTGCAACGATATTATGCAGCAGTTGACTACTGGTGAAAACTTCATTCAAAATCCTTAAAGATCTTTGTCATTGATAATATAAAGCAAAACCAGAGCAAAGCTTTGAGACTTACCATATAGCTGTGCTTGTGTGTAGCTTCCCCGGCGGTGCATCAATTCTCGGGCCGGAGTCTCTTTGCCATGAACAATTTCACCACCAGAATTTGCCTTTCCAGAACTGCTGTTTCTTCTGTTACGTATTTCAGATGCCCGGCCAACTACATCTGCCACCTTGTTCCCATTACACCTCACATTGTCCTTCAAAGACACCCACAAAGCATGCATCTCTGTTTGATTGACCGAGTGACTGGGTGAGAGTGTGTTTGTGTGATTCTAGTTAACTCGTACTGGTGCAGTATTTTATCTTCGCAAAGTTGCAGATCTTTCTAAGTTCAAATCAAACAAATGCACCCATAACTATACCTTATACTGATACGGTTGCTGATGTATAAAAGAATATGCGACTTGTTACTGCCTTTTTTCATTAACAGGAGGCAGGACTGGAGACACGGTAAGCGCGGTAAAAATTAAAATAGAATAAAACTGATAGTTTTTTATTTTTTCCTTCTTTTGAAATAGGTCACTTCTTTTATGGCTCCGTTTGAATGGAAGGAATGAAAGAATTTGGATTTGACGACAAGACTAAAGTTGCTACAAAAACAAAATCCACATTAAGTGGAATGTAATCGAAATAACTAGATGTAATACATTTAAAACAACTCTTTTCCATAAGCCACTAACAAGTTTTTCTCACTAATCTACCAAAAAAACATTTCTTCTTTTTCTTTTTTTCTTTCTCTTCACACACATTGTCTCCCTCTTATTCTTTCTTCTCCCAAAATATTTCTTATCAATACAAACATGCTCTGGTGTACGGCTTTAAGCTCCAATTAAACATTCTATATTACACATCTACATCCATACTATTTTGAAGCCGGAAAAATGCATATACAATAAAAATTTACTACTTTATTTTCATGTCAAACAAGTATCTACAGAGAACATTTTAATTTTCACCCCAGGCATTCAAAAGTCGAGCACGGGCCATGCTGAAATGGATATTATACCAAAACAAAATACTGAATGACATATTCATAAATAAATATAAATTAATGATTAAGATAAAACAAGTCCTTAAGAAGAAAGAGCAAAATACTAAATCTTTTTTTCTTTTTTTTGCAAGATAATTAACTTGGACTGAGCATGGCTAAAACAAATTACTTCTGTACTTTGAAGGGGCTCTTGGAGGGGCCTTCAGGAGTGGAGTTTTGGGCCACAACGTGGCTGCAAGACTGCATGGTGACATTATCCACCAAGCAAAAAGACAAATTATGTATTTAAGGAATTTTGTATCCTATTTTACAAATACAAATGCATTTAAAGAGCAAGTTAAAATGCTGCCATGCCTGCCAGGGTCGGTAAGTTTTACAACGGGCCACCAGAACAAAACTACAAATAATTCTCATCTCCACAATCTATCTTCTGGCTTCATCTGTAATGATTTTTCTTTTTTTCTTTTTTTCCGTTTTTTTTTTGTTACATTGGAGTTCGAACGGGGGTGCCATGGGGTAACGGGGAAGGGTGGGAACCCATTGGCTGTGTTCACTGTTTTGGTAAACTTCTTACTTTTCACTCTGTTCTTTCTTTCTTTTCTGTTTAGGGTCCAGAACATTTACCTCACAGATTTTGATCCATGTGATTTATTGCCTTGGTCAATTAATAGTTTCCATCTAGTCTAAATGTATGAGGAAGTGAAAAACCTACTTCTGTGTGGCGGTTGAATTACCAAGTTACTTCGCAGGCTCCAAAACAAGTAGCTGCAAATTTTTTATCCCACATTGAAAGGCCTATAGAGAACCTTTTGTCCAGCTCTCCTGGAGAATGGAACAATTAAAGCTCAAACCCCCTCCGTACCGCAGGATGCGAAACCCCGCAGTTCACAGGGTCAGCATTGATCTTCCCATTGGGATCATTCTACAATGACAGGCATGAGTACAATTTATCTTTTATCTCGTCGTTTTATTGCAGCAACAGTATCGCAATCGTCAGACGCAAATGAACAATGCCCCAGCATCTACATTGCTCAAGCTTTAGCAATAGGGTTCACAATGCCAAGCAAATTTAAGACTCAGGAGCTCAATAAGCTCATCACACAGGCCAAGTAGAGAAACAAAACTTTCTTATAAATACTGTAAAATTTAAGCATTTGATCGAATTACAACACATGCGGTCAATGACTCTGAATATAGTATCAGTATTAATTCATATTTGTACATAGTATTCCCTGACAAGTAAATGTTGCACATACATTAATCGGACAGAGAAGGAATTTTGCACCAGGCACCTATACCACATCTTTGAAATAGGGAAAGAAGAAGAATACCTTTTGTTTCTTTCTTTCAAATTGAGATGCCCCTTTGACCTTCACCCGTGGCCAAAAGAAGGGAAAAAGTAGCTTATTTCTGTTGGCTTCATCTTAAGCAATTCTATGGACCTGTTAGTACTCTTCCCATGTTCTGTGGATATGCATAAGAGGAATGATTTAAAGGTGGAATCTCGATGCTACGTGATTCACTTGGATTTTCTCTAGATCCGTACTGATTCATGCCACTATTTAAAACACCATAGTATGTTGAAACAGGGGTAGTTTGAATGGCCTTAAAATTGGAACTAGTGTGAGATTGGCGTTCCACTTGTTCAGAGTGCAGTTGCAGGTGCTCATTGGATCTATTTTCAGCAGCAGAGTTGATTCCAACACCAAGATCGAGGCTTATGGTGTCACTTTCTTCTGATCTAATCCTCGATGGGACATTCACAGTTGTTGATCCTGAAGTGTCATGGCTACTATTCCTTGCAGTTGGGACATCATGGTTATGTTTCCCCTCATATGTAGTTATAACTGCCTTTGGATCATGGGATGCCCTCTCCACATGTTTTCTAACAGGGCATCCAGCATTGGTGCACTTGTAATAGCTCCTGCATAGCATGTGAGAACGATGAGAAACCCCATAAACCAGTTGGAAAAAAAGTAGCAGTTAAAAAAAGACTAGAGCCAAATATTAGCCACTCGATGAAGAGGGTACACGCACATATGGGAGATACACGTAATAGAACTACTTCCTAGTTATTCAGAAGCAACATTGTAATTATAAAGTTATCAGGGTACATTTACATATAATATAACCAAACACACTACACAAGCATGATGCAGGTTTATCTCTAACCCAACACAATCCTAAATAATGAGGTTACATTCTAAGGTAAATAATTTATAGGTCGGTTCAATTACAGAAAGAGATCTAGAATACATATATAATTTATTCTTTTGTTCCTTGTTTGTGCATTAAGTTTGACGTTTAATGCAATTACTGGGGTAAAACATCAGGCGAAATTAGCAATTTTCCAAATACCCCAACCATCTGTGCTGAAGGTGCCACTTCTCAGGAGTCCTTTATGAATAAGCGGGGTCTGCACAGCCCTCTATTTTCTTACATGAAAATGGGAAAGTGGCTAAGGGAGATAATGAAAAGTTCCTGTTAAACTAAATGAGAAGAATTGCAACAGTAGCAACAAAGAATTGCGCACTATTACCTACACTAAAACTCAATTTTGATGCAAACAGTCACTTAAAGAAAGAGGAAAAAAAAAAAGGAAAAAGAATGGAAGGCTAAAAGTTCAAATTCAAAAGACAATTTTTCAAACCACAGCTATCAACTGTCAGACTAAGTTCTTATACTGGATTTAAGAATATCTGTATTTATTCCTTGAGTGTGAAACGGCCAGAGGGTGGGAGAGTGAACTACCAAGGTCCGTCCTTACAATACTGTGTTCCATTGCAGAGAGATTGGGATTTAATTGTTTGAATAAATGTTATCATTAGCTCAATACTTTTCAGAATAATCCACTAACCGTCAGAGAAGAAAACCCGACTTTTGTATGAGTATCAGAAAGTTATCAAATTCCATTAATGGTCAGAGAAGAACGCCCGGCAATTTTATGAGCATTCGCTAAGTTATCAAACAAGCACTAAAGCTACATGTTGAAACAGATGAAATGAGTCAAAATTATTGTTGAAAACCGTCGGCCTGATGATAAACTATACCTTGGATTAGGATTTCCCCTCACCACTTTCTGACCATATTTCCGCCAGCGATATCCATCATCCAATATATCAACCTCACTCAGAGTCTGAACAACAACTCGTGGTTCCCGGATAGGTTTAACAACTGGTGTGACATCAACCCCACCAACATCCATCCTCCTGCTTAACAAGTTTGACACTTAGTTAGGGAACATGAACAACACAGGAAAAACATAAGCATTTCTTGAATCTCTATACCTCCTTTTTGAGAATGGGTCATCATCATCAATCTCCTCGGCCATCCTATTAGATAGTGAACCTGTGCCTTCTACACTATCATCATTTCCTGTGACAGGAGATCGCTCAGGAGTACTATTTGGCTCATTAGTACTCGACATTTGCCCATATATGCTGGATGGCTTGTCTACAGTTAGAAAGGAACAAGATTATTAGTAGATATCTACCGATAAAAGATTATTGCCCATATATTCATAAAACAGCTAAAGAAAAATACTCTGATGCTTACCATCACGGCCGATCAAAGAGGAAGCCTTTTCAGATCTTTCTTCCTGGATAGGCATCATAGCACCAGTATTATATCGTCGACTAGGTTGAGGCTTAGGATGATCATGTGTACCCTTGTAGATAATCTCTGTTATCTGTCCATCGTGAGATCGCTCAAACAGCTTCTTCACTTCACAATTAGGATGGGTACATTTATAATAACTGCGAGGAAATTCACTTCCTTTAACGTGTTTTTGTCCATATTTTCTCCAGTTATACCCATCATCAGAAGATATGACTGAAGGCCCACTTCCTTTATGATCAAACTGTGATGTTTGGACCCCAGGATTTGGATGTCCCCTCTGACTTAAGTCATCTGAATCACCTTCAGCAGGTGCACTAGCTCCTGAAGTGACCATGTGAACAGGTGCTGACAAACTCAATTCATTTGAGGAGACCGCCATCTCACTTTTAACCAAAGGTGGAGACACGAGTGATTGAGGCTGAGCTTGACCTTGGACTAACTGGTCATTTCTCTGGTGGTTATAATCTGTAGTAACCTTGAATAAATGTGAAGCATTAGGCAACCAGTACTTTACAACGACTTTGACACACTTTCAGATATATAATGAACTCAAATCAAGATATATCATTGTTCTATAATTCAAAAAGAAATATGACAGTCCATCTCGACAAAGAGATTCATCTACCACCTTTTGTTTCAATTCTTCTTCCAGTTTCCTTAGAAAACATTGGTTCTTTATAAAGCATTTTCAGAAAACAATTGTAGATAACTTAATAAAGAATTAGTTGACACAAGAAAACCAATCCAGTACTCATCATATAGCGCTTGAGACACAGAGGAAGTATGGAAGCAATACCGTAGCAAATTAGTTAAGCTTTAGAACAAGGACTTAAAAAGATTTTGAGGCATTAAGTAGACATCCACCGATATTACAAGTTTAAGTTAGTGCACAAAATAGGCCAAAGACCAATCAGCCAAACTTTGGATCAAGGCCACCATTTAATCAGTATCTTTCACTACATAAATAAAACGTAGTCCTCATAGATGCAACTAATAAACGGATAAATGACCAACAATTGATAAAGAAATTACCATATTTGATCCAGCATGGGGCTTAAACTCGAAACTTCCAGAATTTCTTTCATCAAAGGTATCGAAATCAGAGCACATTGTGGTTGCTGAATATGTAGTAGAACTCAGAGAACCGTACACCATTTGAGGCTTCAAAAAGGACCCAGTAGTTGGGGAAGGTTCTGCCTGCAAGACCAGAAACAATATATTTTCATTCAGGAATTCCTGATCCAGAAGACTTTTGATGGACTGAAGGGGCATGTACAGAAAAAAGAAAATTTCGAGAAAGAACAAGAGAGAGATGGCCAAGAAGATTCAGAACAATTTCCAAGCCCTTTAAATGTGGCAGTACTTAAACATACTGTTACATATCTGTTCAATAACAAGAAACTCTGACAACTACTCAGGCATCCTTCTGATTGGCATCACTTAACAGAGATGTAATTTGTCCATCCATCCTAGACTACCAAAATAACTCTAACAAGTTCCTTCATTACCGATGCAAATGAAACAAATACTAGTAAATAAAAGATAAATTTTCTTAAGTAAATCCACTAAAGATTGGAAGAGCAATATATTTATATGGATTACCCACATAACTGAAGTTATTGCAAACTGCTTTGAACAAGAACAATCATCTCTAATCACAATCAGCACAATGAAGGTCATATCCTCCATAAAACACATGCCAATGACGACTTATATCAACACCTTGACCCACAAACTTTCTAGCCTTCCTATTCCTTCCCTGCTGATGCATTTATTCCTTATTCTACATACACAAATGTAAACGTTTTTGTCGTACTTGCATCCACTGCCACCGTTAAACAAAGACAAACAAAAAGGCTAAAACCCACCACCAAAGCAAAAAGAAGAGAAGAAAGATTCATTATGTGAAAAAACAACACAGTCGATAGTAATAAAGAACAACAAAGTTCAAAGAGTTGTAAGTGAAAGCCCCATATTCCCAAAGCAATTGCTTTCGAACAATCCATACAGGCATAAAGAGAAAAGACCCAATAGGCCAATACTAGCATTACATTACTCTTAAACAGCAACAAAGCATCAGAACCTTCGGGTCCCATCCTAAGCACCCACATACAAAATCCCACTGGTTTATTGAAAAATAAAAAGAAATAAAACATTCGCAGCAAACCCATTTGATTAAATTCACTGTTATGCCACAAAACAAATGGAAATTGTAAACAGAATTTTCGAATTTGGCTGAAAGGAGGAGCATCTTTTTAGCTCACTCATCATCAACATCACATCAATATTTTAAGTCCACAAAATTCCCTCCTACAGCATATACCACGGGGCAAAATCTCAGGCCGTCAGACCCAGTTCCCTATATACCCCATGTTTGGTCACCGAGAAAATGCCTGAGAAAAGTTCAAAATTAAAACTTTTCACTGCAAAGTCAATCTCAGTTGCTCAGAGCAGTAGAATAACTTCAACACTCCAATTACAAACATTTCCTTTTCTCAGCAACCAAACAGAGCCTTACATTTAATTCAAACCCAAAAAAAAAAACTTCAAAATAAAAATTAGATGATCATGTTTATTTTTGTTGTATGTTCCCACTTCCCACACTTCACTGAGCAAGCCAAACACAGCATAAGATTCAAAAAGAGCATTTGCTTTTCCTCAGCAGCAAAAAAGAAAATAAAAATCAACAAAAGAAAATAGAACAAGGATCGAAACAAAACGACGTCGAAGCAGACCTTCATGTTGGAGAGGAGGACGGGGGACTCGAGAAATGACGTCGGACTGAGGCCAGGAGGGATAGTGAGGCAGGGGGACCTCGAGATCGGAAGCTTGGCCGGGGACATGAGCTTGTACTTGGCCCCACCACCACCACCAGTAGAAGAAAAAAGGGTCGGGTCAGACCCGGAATTGAAGCCGGTTAGACCCGGATCGAAGTCATCGGAGGGTCCAGATGGGTGGTCGAGTGTGGTCGCGTCCATTGAAAGCCGGTTGGTTTGGGTGAGGGGCGAGTCAAAAAACTGTCAAAGGGAAAAGGAGAGAGAGTGGGTTCGTTTTTGTTCAGAACAGGGGAAGATGAGGGAAGGGCAGAATGGTAATCTGTGGGGGTGTCTGTTGTGTTTTGGAAGGTTTTGTCGTCAGAGAGAGACGTGGGTTGACTTGTGGCAATGGATCTGAGTTTCATCTGCGGACTGAGCCACTCAGAGACTGAGGTTGAGTCCCCATTTCTCATGGTTAAAAATAATATTTGCAAGATCTCAAAGTCATACAAATTAAATTTAAACTTAACTAAAACATTCATAGGAAAGTTACACGAGATTCTTCAATAAGTATCTTATATTAAGAATTGGTTACATACTTTTAATTGTAGCTGTTGAATTCTATTCATTAAATATGTTGGTAGTCTTTTAGATACAATCCAACAGCCGAGATTAGAAGTATGTAACCAATTCTTAACTTAAATACTTACTAGCCTTTTCGCACGCGCTTCTGCGCCTGCGAGAGGCTTTTTTTTTTTTAAATTAAATTTTATTTTAGAATTAAAAAAGATAATGGGTAGTTGTTTTCCATAAAAATAGGATTCATTATCCGATTTTTCTTTTAATTTTAATTTTTTAAAATATGAAAAAGTGTGAATTTACCATATTATCCTCATTTAATTAATAATTTCAATTTTTAATGTTTGTATTAACCAAGAGCATTTTCTGGTATTTTGAATGTTTCACCATTCTCTGCCTTTTGCTTTATATATATAGATTTGAAAATATCCCGAAAAGTTACTAAACTAAAGTATTTGTAGAATTATGTCTCATCACAACTTGACTTGTGAATTTTAACTATTCAATGTCAAGATTGCATTGAATTGGAATAAATGAAGTGTCTCCAAGTTTTGACTTCGTGAGCCTATTAAGAAACCTTATCAAGAGGCTCATCACAACTTGGAACCACTTTTGATTTATCTACTCAAATTGTATTTTTAGTGCCGGCATTGATTTCAGTCAAGACTACTATAGAAAAAGAATAAAAATGCAAAGATACTCTCATCAGATTTAATAGGTGAGAATTTATGTAACCAACCTCATATTTATGAGTTAGTTGATTTTCATATCCCTAATCGTCAAAGAAATGGAAAATTGGAAAATTGAACCATCTATAAAGAGACTAATGATTTATGTTCTCAATGAGTTCTCAATAGTCAAGGCTTAATGATTTTAATTTTCTTTTGATTTGCTAACAAGCAATAATTATTGAACATGCTACAAGACTTTTTTCACATGTTGATTTGCTAACACCCATATTTTACATTGAATTTAAAACTTCATTTAGATAAGACAATCGTTATATGGTCTTTTTTTCCACCAAAGTTAGAAAAGGGGAGAATGATTTTCTCTCTCACACGCACTGGCAATCGTTATGTGGTCTACTAAACATTAGTTGAGCTCATAGACATGATTTAAGTTTCTTTTTCCCCTACTTTCTAAATAATGATTAAGAGTCACTGTAAGTTCGACTAATGATAGCATATCTAAAAGATACGAGTAAAATCAACAGAGTCAATTAATGGAGATTAAGGTTTCAACTACATTTCATTAGTCATTAAATTAGGCCGATACAAGACCTTAGAGGGTTGAATAACTCAACCCTGTCAGGTAGTTAAATTGACTTCAATGAATTGGTTCGTAAGAATATATAGTTTTAAAGAGGCAATCCAGAAGTTGTCCTTGTGCTTCCAACCGTTGAAGTAAATTATATTGTAACAAAAATAATGCACTTCTATGGATCACGATGCTACGTTTATTCCTTATATGTGTGTTTGTATCATAACTGACCGAGCAGAAGAAGAACGAACCAAAAAAGAATAGCCTAACTACATTATACACCCCAAATTTAGAAAAACTTACCGTCTTCCAAAATTTAAGTGTAATTTTCTTTTTAAAATAAACAAGTTTATTAACAAGATCTTTATAGTCATAAAAATTAAATTTAAACTTAACTAAAACATTCATAAGAAAGTTACACCAGATTCTTCAATAAGTATTTTATATTAAGTATTGGTTACATACTCCTATTTTTGGCCGTTGAATTATATTCATTAAATGTGTTGGTAGTCTTTTAGATATAATGCAACAGTCGAAATTAGAAGTATGTAACCAATCATTAACTTAAATACTTATTTGAAAATGTCCCGGAAAGTTGCTAAACTAAAGTATTTGTAGAATTATGTCTCATCACAATTTGACTTGTGAATTATAACTATTCAATGTCAAGATTGCATTGAATTGGAATAAATGAAGTGTCTCCAAGTTTTGACTTCGTGAGCCTATTAAGGAAACCTTATCAAGAGGCTCATCACAACTTGGAACCACTTTTGATTTATCTACTCAAATTGTATTTTTAGTGCCAGCATTGATTTCAGTCAAGACTACTACAGAAAAAGAATAAAAATGCAAAGATACTCTCATCAGATTTAATAGTTGAGAATTTATGTAACCAACCTCATATATATGAGTTAGTTGATTTTCATATCCCTAATCGTCAAAGAAATGGAAAATTTAAAAGCAAAGAGTGAAGCTAGGAAAATTGAACCATCTATAAAGAGACTAATGATTTATGTTCTCAATGAGTTCTCAATAGTCAAGGCTTAATGATTTTAATTTTCTTTTGATTTGCTAACAAGCAATAATTATTGAACATGCTACAAGACTTTTTTCACATGTTGATTTGCTAACACCCATATTTTACATTGAATTTAAAACTTCATTTAGATAAGACAATAGTTATATGATCTTTTTTTCCACCAAAGTTAGAAAAGGGGAGAATGATTTTCTCTCTCACACGCACTGGCAATCGTTATGTGGTCTACTAAACATTAGTTGAGCTCAAAGACATGATTTAAGTTTCTTTTTTCCCTTACTTTCAAAAAAACGATTAAGAATCACCTGTAAGTTCGACTAATGATAGCATATCTAAAAGATATGAGTAAAATCAATAGAGTCAATTAATGGAGATTAAGGTTTCAACTTCATTTCATTAGTCATTAAATTAGGCCGATACAAGACCTTAGAGGGTTGAATAACTCAACCCTGTCAGGTAGTTAAATTGACTTCAATGAATTGGTTCGTAAGAATATATAGTTTTAAAGAGGCAATCCAGAAGTTGTCCTTGTGCTTCCAACCGTTGAAGTAAATTATATTGTAACAAAAATAATGCATTTCTATGGATCACGATGCTACGTTTATTCCTTATATGCGTGTTTGTACCATAACTGACCGAGCAGAAGAAGAACGAACCAAAAAAGAATAGCCTAACTACATTATACACCCCAAATTTAGAAAAACTTACCGTCTTCCAAAATTTAAGTGTAATTTTCTTTTTAAAATAAACAAGTTTATTAATTTTATTTTTTGTAGAAATAAGTTATTTTACAACCAACAACACATACTATTTATTCCATATTATAAAATTACATGAAAAACCTCAAATAATGAAATAAGGTTCACCAGAGTTGGTAGCCTAAATTTATAATTACACAGTATTTATTTCGATTATCTCACAATTTACATTGTCAAAAACCTAGAAGTTCATCAGCAATCCAGAAGTTGTCCTTGTGCTTCCAACCGTTGAAGTAAATTATATTGTAACAAAAATAATGCATTTCTATGGATCACTATGCTACGTTTATTCCTTATATGCGTGTTTGTACCATAACTGACCGAGCAGAAGAAGAACGAACCAAAAAAGAATAGCCTAACTACATTATACACCCCAAATTTAGAAAAACTTACCGTCTTCCAAAATTTAAGTGTGATTTTATTTATGTAACCAACCTCATATATATGAGTTAGTTGATTTTCATATCCCTAATCGTCAAAGAAATGGAAAATTTAAAAGCAAAGAGTGAAGCTAGGAAAATTGAACCATCTATAAAGAGACTAATGATTTATGTTCTCAATGAGTTCTCAATAGTCAAGGCTTAATGATTTTAATTTTCTTTTGATTTGCTAACAAGCAATAATTATTGAACATGCTACAAGACTTTTTTCACATGTTGATTTGCTAACACCCATATTTTACATTGAATTTAAAACTTCATTTAGATAAGACAATCGTTATATGGTCTTTTTTTCCACCAAAGTTAGAAAAGGGGAGAATGATTTTCTCTCTCACACGCACTGGCAATCGTTATGTGGTCTACTAAACATTAGTTGAGCTCATAGACATGATTTAAGTTTCTTTTTTCCCTTACTTTCAAAAAAACGATTAAGAATCACCTGTAAGTTCGACTAATGATAGCATATCTAAAAGATATGAGTAAAATCAATAGAGTCAATTAATGGAGATTAAGGTTTCAACTTCATTTCATTAGTCATTAAATTAGGCCGATACAAGACCTTAGAGGGTTGAATAACTCAACCCTGTCAGGTAGTTAAATTGACTTCAATGAATTGGTTCGTAAGAATATATAGTTTTAAAGAGGCAATCCAGAAGTTGTCCTTGTGTCACACAAAGATGAATACTTAATTGGGCAACCAAACACTTCCCTTCTACTCAAACATTAGAAACAGAAGACAGCCCCATTTTTTAGGCATACAGGAGGATTTATGCTTTCAATGAGCAGCATCTACTATCGAAGAGGAGCTAAAGTTTTGCAAACTACCAAAGAGGTCAAGATGGGGACAAAACAAGTCCCTTCAAGCAAACTTAATGAAAAAAGACTTCCTATTTCTTAAAACCAAAGACAAGAAAAAAGACGATTACTTGTTCACCAACACTACTTGCTCTGCAACGATTTGTTGATCACAATGATCAACCTAAAACCAACGTTAAGTTCCTATTCAATATAGGTAAAAATCATCACCTCTTTCTGAGACAGAAGAAGGGAATGCACCTCAAGTTCCTTCGGTGAAAGGCAGAGTACCTCTGTTGTCCCTGTGAAATGGCAGCACAAGGAGTAGAACCCTAAAACAGGTAAAAACATGAGGATGTCTTTCCCTTTTTAGGAAAAATGCTCCCTGGAAAGAAAATCGATGAAAAGGTCCTAAAAGTAGACTGTTCACAAGAATTAGTGCTTAAAAATGATATAAAAATAAGCTATTCTACTTTCAGGCTGATTAGTTTATTAAACACCCAGAAAAAAAAAATTAATTTAATGGATGACGCAAACTACTCGGAAG